GGGCTTGTATAAAAATCTGCTAGGAATGCTGCCCCATCCCCAGTAAAACACGACTGTGGATCTCACACCATCTGGCTCCTTACAGTAAGAAGCAGCCTGTCCATCCATGAACTGTGTTGTTGTTATTGTGCAAGATCGTGTCAAAGGAAGTGTCATTATTGCATTATTTTCAAGGTGTGCATTTCTCTCCTAGCCCCAGTGGGCTTGTATAAAAATCTGCTAGGAATGCTGCCCCATCCCCAGTAAAACACGACTGTGGATCTCACACCATCTGGCTCCTTACAGTAAGAAGCAGCCTGTCCATCCATGAACTGTGTTGTTGTTATTGTGCAAGATCGTGTCAAAGGAAGTGTCATTATTGCATTATTTTCAAGGTGTGCATTTCTCTCCTAGCCCCAGTGGAAAGAACCCACTTCATCTGTCTGTACATCTCCAGTCTCTCTCTCCTCGCCCGAGGCCAGGCTGTTCCCCCACTCACCCTGTCTTGGGTATACACATCTGTGTCAGCTCTCAACCTCCAAATTTAGCAAAGAGACATTGCAGTCCCCTCCTCTCACTCGAAGCAGAGGATAGTTATGCTGGGGATGCATTGTACGTTCTGGTGCTCTCAAAGGTCCTGTCATTAGCCTAAGGTACCAAATGCATGAGTGACAAGCTCCCAACATGGCCTGGGAGACGTGGTTCTTGTTCACTTATATTTTGGCTAGAAATCTAATCAATACAGATTCTTCACAACAAAATTCCCCCAACTCTCCCAGCCAGGCACTTCTTGCCTTTCCTTGGCATTGCAGACCATCCATCTACACACACCCATGGTCTCAGGTTCCTTATGAGTGGAGAGAGAGAGAGAAGCCTCCCTTTATTTGCCAGGCAGAGGCAGCTTGAAGTGGGATTTCAGCTGCAGGGCATTGTCCACTTCCTCTACCGGCTGCAGGCAGTGCCACTGGGCAATGGGTCGGCGGGGATTGGCCAGCATGTCCGACCAGTGGCGCAGTTGGTTGCCCGTAGCTCTACAACCCAGGAACACTTTGCCAATCTGTTCGTTCTTGGTCACCTTGTCATGATCCCATACCGAAATCACCAAGTCGACGTTCTGGAGGGAAGGCACAAATGGAACAGATGAGAGGGGGGGAACCAAAAAAGGGGGAGGGGAGTGCATGGAAAGGGAGAATAAAGACAAGAGGGGGAAAAGAGGAAAGGAAGCAGAAGAAGAGGGGTGGGAAAACAGATTCAGCAAAAAGGTAAATGAGGGAGCATGGTTGGAGAGAGAGAAAGGTCATTTTCCTGCAGGGTTGCCTCTGTTAAATGTTTTAATCCCTTCTCGCTGTGAGGGGTATGTTCTCTCTCTCCTAAAATGAACCGCTGACCGCTGGGCAGGTTGGTTGGGGCTGCCTATGGAGAGGCATGCCAGCCTCTGCAGGAGGGTGTACAGAATCAGTCAGGGAAGGGTTAAGTAGCTAATGTAGACCAGATGCAATTGGATTTGTTAACCCCACATGCTTAGTGGCCATGTCTGAAAGGAGGAAGAAGCCAGCCATGACTGGGGTTGGGGCAACTGGACAGACAGACTCACATCTATTCCCACCCCTCCTTGAAAATAAAGCATGAACTTTTCTTGGGGATTGGGTGTATCCCTTGGAAAGGAAAGAGCTTGGAGTTACAGCTGGTTGGGTTCAGAGCGTCATGCTCATACCAGGGAATGGTAGAACCCACACTGAGATGCTCCCCAATCCTTTTTATTACCTCCTGTCCACTCCCCTGCCCCCAATCGCACTACAGAAAAGTGTGAGAAATACAGTGTAAATCAGGGGCGAGCTGTTTCATCTGAAGATAACACCAGACGGGGCAGCACCGGACAGCCACTCATCCCTTCCCTCCCTCAAACCCTTTTTCCCCTACTCCCCTGAGTCTCAAATACCACATCTGTCTGTATTGCAGGAGACCCCTGTACTATAGGAGACCACCCTCTCATTTCCCTTGGCCAAGCAGAGGTAGCCGAGCAGGGCTAAGCCCTACCATCACAATGGCCAGTCACGGGACTAACACGACTCATTTTTTTTTTTTTGTGAGCACCCTCAGTTATAGCAGCCACTTCACAGAATGTCCTTGGGTTCATTTCTGTTAGGGTACATCTACACTGCACGCTTATTCGAAATAAGCTAATCTGGAATAGTTATTCTGAAATAATTTATTTCGAAATAGCACGCCTCCACTGCAGGGAAGCCTCAAAATTAGTCCGAGGCAGGCTTCCCTACTGTAGACGTGATATCTTGATTTAGAGCTGCAAGAGGCACTGGCGAGGAATAACTTAGAATGGCCCTGGTGAGGGGCTATTTTGAAATAGTAGCAGCGGAGCATCTACACACATCTTATGTCAAATAGCTATTTCAGAATAGGCGTTATTCCTCGCAGAATGAGGTTTACAGATTTTGGAATAAGCCGTCTGTTATTTCAAAATGATTTTGAGATAACAAAATGGCTGTGTAGCCACTCGCCTTGTTATTCTGGAATAACGCCAGTTATCTCGAAATAATAGTGCAGCGTAGATGTACCCTTAGTGAATGCTTTCCCTGGCTGAGGAAACCTACCTGGATCTGGTTGAAAGGCACCTCAAAAGTAAACATCTCATTGAAGTAGGGGCTTAAAGTACTCTTCTTCACACCCGTCTTCTTCTTCTTCCACTTTTTCTTGTTCAAGATAAGCTGCACTTTGACAAAGGGGTCTGAGAAACAAAGAGGATGTAGGAAGGTGTGTAGGGCGTGACCAAGCAGTATCATTAATGCTATCCCCTGGTGCAAAGATTTCCACAGCTCACCCACGAAACAGCTTCTGCTACCTTTCCTAATAACTGACCTCTGCACGGCTTTGCTAATGCACCTCGGTCCTGACCAGGAGGACCCACTATGCTTGCAATCCACAGCCTTGCAAGCCCACCTCAGTTGTGCTCTGCAGCAACCCCCGATTTCCCAGCTCTGGGCTTCCCCTACAACTGAGCCAGTCAGCCTCAGTTCTGATCTGTGAAGTCTTCTGCAATGCCAGTTGTTGGCCTCTGCACAGCTCTGCCAATGCACCTGAGCCCCAACTTGCAGCCCTTCCTCCTTCTCCTCACAGTGGTTGTGATGGGGCAAAATGAGGATGAGGAGTACACTCAAAGGAGAAGCACGTGGGACGGGGCTTCTCACCTCGTATGCTAAAGGATTCTCCAAGCCTCTATGGGTGGTGGCTATGCTAGGCAAGGGAAAGCATTGCCTTCCAAACCTGCCAGTCTGCCCACGCCCACACTCCGCCCCCAGAATGCCTAGTGGAGACATTGTGGGGGAGGAGTGTCACCGCCCCCAGTGCCCAGCCTCCCCATGCTCTGAGGCCAGGCTGCATGCCAGGTATGCTCTGGGGCCAGGGAGGCTGAAGCCACGCACTGCCCAGCCTCTCCACGTTCCAGCGCCAGGGAAGCTTGGGCCATGTGCTGCCTGCTTCTGTGGGGCCAGCGAGGCTGGGGCATGCACTGCCGCCCTCCCTTCCCCCACCTCCCAGTGTTAGGGGGTGGAGCCTCAACAGAAGGGGCATGGCTGGGGGTGGAGCTATGGGCTCCATACCCTCAGCCCTTTCCACCCACAGACACAAGTCCCCATACATCCTGTTGGGGGTTGCCCCCTGCGTTCATAGAATCATAGGGCTGGAAGAGACCTCAGGAGGTCATCAAGTCCAGCCCCCTGCCCAAGGCAGGACCAATCCCAACTAAATCAACCCAGCCAGGGCTTTCTCCTGAGGAGAAATGTTGCCTGTTGTACAAGCTTTTGCCAAACTATTTCAAATATGTGTTTGCAGTGCTATTATAGCTAAGTTGGTCCTAGGATATTAGAGAGACAAGATGGTGACATTTTCGCCAGAAGAAGTGGTTCCAATAAAAGATATTGCCTCAGCCCAGTGGCGGCCCATCAGTACAGGTTGCCAGATGGTTGAAACAGAAATACCGAACACTCTCCCCCCCCCCGAAAAAAACCCACTAGGAAAAAATTCTGTTGAAGGGGAAAAAGGGGCAGGGGGGAAGACCAGAGTTGGTGAGCAAAAAAGGGACTCCAAGGACTTAGTAAGCCAAAAAAAAATTAAAATTAAAATAAAACAGCATTAAAACAGCATGTCCCCTTTAAGAGTGAATGCAGGGATAGGAACAGGGAAGCGGTTGAGCACTAAGACCCAGGGGAAGCATTGCTTCCCCTAGGTCTTTTGGCCCACAGCCATTTTATGCCGGCAGCCTTGGAGAACCAGGTAAGCATGGGGGTTGGAGTCGGGGGTGGAGAGGTTGGGGGCCAGGGAGGGGCTCCGGGTGGAGGGGGCGGGGTTGGAGAGGTGGGGGGCCAGGGAGGGCCTCGGGGTGGAGTGGGGAGGCCGGGTACTGAGTGTTTGTAAGGTAGCCGGGTGCCCAGCATTTTCACCTCCTGGCCAGAGAAAAGTTCCGAAAATACCGGACATCTCAGGTGTCTGGTATTCTCTGAATTTTTTTACCGGACAGTAGGCGAAAATACCAGACTGGGTGAATACTGGACACCTGGCAACCCTGCCTAGGGCACCAAGATAAACGGCTGTTGAGGGCTTTGGAGGCGGGGGTGCTGATCGTGTATTTCACCTAGGGTACCAGTTGCCTGCAGCTTGTCTAGGGCCGCTCCTGCCTCAGCCCTTTTCTCTCTTACCAATATATGGCATGAGTTTTGGAAACTGCAGCAAGACAATCAAACTCATTCATGCTTACTCATTGCCTAAGCCAGAATTTGAACCCATAGCTCTTACTGATGGTGCCTTTTGTGTATAGCAATAGTAGTCAAGCCTGAATTGCACTAGGGCAGAGAGAGACCTGGGTTTAAAGAGAAACTATCTAGCTGAAGCTTATCTGTCAATGAAGCATCATGGTGCTTCCTTCCTTGTGTTCACCACACTCCCTAATCACACATTGTACAACCATTATGGCCCATCCCTTCCTACCTGATAATCCACTTGAGTCCATTTTCTTGAGCTTCTTGGCTTCCAAGATCACCACAGTCAGCTTGCTGGTGGTGGGGATGTATCGAAGCGAGAAACAGATCTCCCCAAGGCGCTCTTGCTGTTAGAAACACAAAGTTAAAGGATACGTGATCAGTCAATGTTTGATGGCAGGATCAGAACATTATAGCCAGTCTAGCCAACACCAGGGGATGGTAGGCCTCTATGGAGTAGGGCTAGTCTTGGGGCCAGTAGGATTCCTGGGATAGAGATCAGGTTACCAAGAACGAGGTAAGCTCATGGGCCAGTAGGAAACTTCGGGGTAGAGTTACAAAGAGTAAACTTCTCTGGACTGGTATTATGTATGGGGCTGGTAGGTTACCAAGGACAGGCCTTTACTGGCTAGAGTTAGACCTGGATCCAGTAGGACTGCCCCAGCTAATGTGAGTGTAACCAAGGGTAGAACCCCTTGGGCCAGGTTAGGCCTGGGACAGGGCAGCAGCAGCAGCCTAAAGCCCCAGGACCCTTACAATCACCAGGCACTAGGGCAAGCACCCCCTTTGCCTCACCCGCCCACTCCAGCCCCCACCAGCAGGCCTGCTATCAGGGTTTGGGTACCCAAAGAAAGGGATTTCCGGGCTTCCTAGACTTGGGCTGGGGTTCCTATGGGCAGGGATTCCCAGGTGAGGGTTGGGCCGGGGGCCAGTAGAACTCCCTGGGCTACGGTTAGAGTTACTAAGGGGAGAGATCTCCAGGCTAGGGTTACTTCTGGAGTAAGTATTTAAATCCCCACTTCATTTGCAATTTTGGGTGTCTGCATTTGCATTCCTCTCTCGAGAGAGAGAGAGAGAGAGGAATGAAATGTAGACATACCCTAAGAAGGGTGCTACAGGGTATGATCACCCCAGGTTACACCTCACTCTCCAGGGTTTAGAAGTGGGAGGAAACTTCCAAATTTGAAATTTCAAACAACACTGTTGGTTGAAATTGCAATGAAAAGAAAGGGTGAAAATGTGGAAACTTGTGTGGAAATGGTGTCCCCTTTCCTGATGTGCTCTAGTGTGGTGTTATAGCCCCATACTTTGGAAGCCACAGTTCCTCAAAGGCCATGTTCCTCTGTGGGCAAAGTTTGTTGAAAATGTTGTCTTTTTTTGTTGACATTTTGATGGAATTGCCAATTTTCCAACATTTTGACCCAGTATACAACTGGTTAAAAAGTGGGATAATATTTTCAGGGAAATGTCATTGAAAATACTGTCCCAGATTTTTGTTGAAATGTTGACAAATTTGCACATTTTTGAGCAGGTCTGCTCCATGCTCCATTGTGGATTTCTATCAGGTGAATAGAAAATTGTGTTAATGAGTACCATTAGTTAGAGCATGGGCTATAGACAATAGACTATGGACTATTTACATTTAAACTTTCCACTCAATTTTACCTTTTTCTCCTATTTGCAAGTTGTCTACAGACACACCAAGGAACCATCCAGTTTTGTAACTACACAAAATGGAAAATGTACTGCTCAGACATTCCCTGGCCTGTAATTTATTCTAATTGTGAAGTGTGAGTATTACAATCGGGACAACAAACTATAGTCCATGTTGTAACTGATGGAATTCATTTACATAACTTTCTAATAATTAACTTATGTAACTATTTTATGTAACTCTAATTACATAAGTGGTATAATTTAAAGTGAGTAACCAGCACGGCATGAATTTTAAATCGCAGATTTGACTGTCATCTTCCACATTTTCATTTCACACTGTGTTGGTTAGTAATATTTCATCGAACCAAAGAACAGAAACAATGCCACATGACTAGAAAGTATTGCCAATTCCTGTGATTTATATCACGTATCTCATAATATTTGATGCTTTTCTTAAAACCCCAGCTGCTGAAGTTCTGTCATTATAAAATAAATTCCATTTTCTAACAACATTTTTAAAAGTAAAGTCCTAGTCTTTTGGCCCTGGTGATTACAGAGGAATGCTTGAGAATGTGAACCCTAATGGCTCCAAAAGCAAGGCCACTAAAAAGATTCTAAGATTTTTTATTTTGAAAAACCTTATGATTTTGAAGTCAGGTCATGGATGATATTTCGGGAGGAGGAGAGGAGGCTGACTCATGACTTTTGACTGCTTGGGCTTGGCCATCCTGCATCCGTATCCAACTACCTTAGCAGAAGTGGCATTTCTCTTGTTATATCTCAGGCAGAACAACTCAACCAGGGGCAGCAGATATTCTAGGCGGGGGAAGGCACAGCCTTCCCAAACCACCAGGCATGGCCCCGCCCATACTCCGCCTCAGAACACCTACTGTAGGTGTACTGGAAGGTGGAGTATTGCTGCCCCCAGCACCCGCCCTCCCTGGTGCTCTGGGCCAGGAAGGCTGGTGCCACACCTCCACCTCCCTCCCCGGTGCCCCAAGGCTGGGGCTACATATCCTCCTAACTCCCTGTGGTATAGGGGGCAGGGCCTGGGCAGAAGGGGTGGGGCTGTGGGCTTGTCTCCCCCATCCCAACTTTCATCCATTAACTCAATCTTTGTTTTTGGCCATTACTCTAGCTCCAAATGTGCTTTTCCTCCTTCTTTGGGGGAGGAGTGGGGTATTTCACCCAGATTCATGGAGCACTTTACTACCCACAGTCCTGGCCATCCATTCTGGCTAGTAGGTGGGGGACAACTCCTCCCACTCTGCACCTCTCCATCCCTTCCTCTCTGATGGCTCCTTGCAGGGAATATGGCTCTGCTCTCCTTGCTGTGTCAGGAGTAGATATCTGAGCCACCAGGGTAGGCTTTGCTCCTCTGTGCAATTGAGTAAGGGCTGCCACAGTCTTAGCTCAGCAGAAGTACTTGCCCAGGGAGGTGCTGCTCCACAGGAGTGAAGGTGGTAGAATCTTGGGGAGATCTGTGAGATATTTGACCACTGGCTCAGTTTCCCTTTGCCCGCTTGCTGCTCCCTTCGCTCCAGCCACTCACCTCCCTCTTGCTGGCCGCGGTAAGCTCTTGCCACTGTTCAATCACGTGCTGTAGGTCGAAGTCGCCTAGTGGCAGCCGGACCTCACCAATGATGTCGTGTTTGGCAAAGCGGTTGAAGTCATAGATCTGCATCACCAGGCTGGACTCGGACACTTCCGCCTGGGGAATCTGCGGGGAGGAGATGAGACAGGAATTGCGGCGGAGCGAACAATGTCACCATCATGCTCTTGTGTTACAGGTCAGTCTCGTGAGTCTGGCACAGCAGAGCTGTGACAGAGCTTCCCTCAAGTTACGTCTACACTGCAGCGCTATTCTGGGATACCGGAATATCCCGAAATAACTATCCCCAAGTTTTTACAGCAAGCCTGTTATTTCAGGCTCACTATTCCGCCGTCCCTGTAAACCTCATTGCATGAGGAGTAAGGGACATTTTGGAATAGAAGGTTATTTTAAAATTTGGCGCTGTGTAGACAGCACCAAATGACAAAATAAGCTATTTTGAAATAAGATATGCAACTTGCGCATCTTATTTTGAACTACAGAGCAGTGTAGACGAAGCCTCACACCGCTGCCACTCCTCTTCCTCCTGTGCTGAGGACACATCCGGGCATGGGCAGGCTCTCCTCTCCCAGAGTGACATTCAGCCTCCATGGTCATTCAGCCCTAAGCTGGAGGGACCCCCTAGGTCCTGGAAAGCAAAGGGAAGGGGCAGATTTGTTTCTGTGATAAATTGCAGGCAGGACCAATGAGAGGAGGCAAGTCCTTCTTTCCCACTCAGACTCTGCAGAAGACACTGGCAGGACACAGGGCCAGGGCTAGGGCAGGCCTCATGTTGGCTGCCCCACAGCTCCCAGCCTTAGGGAAGCTGGTGGTAGCTACCTGGCAGCACCCTGGGCAAGGGGGGGACTTGAACCCACAACCCGGAGGCCTCCAGTGTTTAGTAGGAGACCAAAGAAAGCAAGTGCACATGTGGTGCTACCCCAACAGAGAGAGCAAACTGCTTGTGCTCCAGCGCACACATGAGTGAGGGATGCACAAGGGCAGCAGCGATGAAGGTCAGTGAGACAGGGCACTATTAGCGGTACCTTGGTGGCTGCAGCTCTGGCAAGAGTGCAGGCTTCGTAAAAGCCAATTAGTCAGTTTCTGCTGGGGATTAATGACCCTTGGGTGGTAATTGCTGAGCTAAGGAGGTCATTTGGCTCCGTAACGAGGACGATGTAAGGGGGAGGGACAGGAGCTAGGGGAAAACTCAGAGCGTGAGTCTGAGCTGAGGAGAGATGGCCCGGCAGACGTCTCTCTCCCCCATCTCTCTCCCCCGCTGCAAGCCTGCAGTGCATTTTGCTCTTCTGGGTGAGAGAAGAACAAACACCCCCATGGTAAAAGAGTAACAACCTGTGGTGGCAATGTGGCACATTGGGTAGTGACAGCGCCACTCTGTGGTGTAAGTGTGAATGAAAGAAAATCTCAGCCCCTGTTTCTTTATTCTCAAGAATCCAGGGCATGAACAGGGGCACCTGGGTCAGAATGGGTGGGCCTGAGGAGACCTGCATCTTCTGCGTCTCTCCCCCTTGGCCTTACTCCTGCCACAAGGCAGGAGGGATTTACTGGACATGCAGCCGTACCCTCACGCACAGGATCATGGCCTCATCCTGCTTACCGGTTTACCGTACTCTCGCCCCTTCAGCAGTGACTCTGCGCTGTGCAGGGTCAACATTAGCTCTCTGAGGTCTGCTCTCAGCTCACAGGCCGTGACTCAAGAGCAGTCGTCTGGATGAGAGCGAGTGGCTGGGAGTGTTTCGCACCTGGAAGGTGAAGGTCTCGTTGAAGACCGGGTTGAGCGTCTTCCGGTAAACCTTGGTTTCATACTTCTTCTTCATATCAGATGTTAAATAGACAATAACGTATGGGTCCGAGGTCCCCCCGCTGTCCATGGCCTTTAAATCTGCTGCCTGCTTCACTCCAACCTTCATCTGAAAAATGTCAAGAGTAAAAGGCTCCATGTGAGGTGAGAGCTCTGGCTCAGGTTTGCCTCCTTCTGGGTGGCTGTCGGCTACATGCAGACAAGCATGGCAGATGCTTTTTGTTGTAGGAAGCAATTTGGGGGAGCGCTGTTATAGATCAGTAGCCAGGGAGGCACTAGGGACCCTGATGACCAGCTGGTGGGTGTCTGCAGCTTTGCCCACAGGTTTAGGGGAGGAAATAGTTGTGTGCACAGCAGAGAATTGGCTGGCTGGCTGTTGGAGGGCAGGCAAGGGGCATAGGCGCAGAGCTGGCTCTGAAAGGAGAGGGTTTGGAAGGCTGTGAAGGAGGAGAATCTGACTGTGCAAGAAAAAGGCATTTCCTGCCACTCCTGTCAGCGCTGGGTAGCTCACCCTGGCATAACGAGTCTTACCTCCTGGCTACGGAAGTTATACTCCAGGGAATACTGCAGCCTGCCTCGCTTCTCGTCCTCGAGCCCAGACTCCAAATCGTCCATATCTGGCTGGACCTGCAGTAAGAAAGCGGCAAGTGTCTTACAAAATAACAGTGCCCGTGAAGGTCCAGAACTGGGATCTCTGGAATTTCCCCTTGGCTGGAGACTAGGGACAATATGTAGATGATGCTGCCAGCCCAAACTACTGGCTTCTTCCTAAAAGTGAACCCCAAGCTTATCACACTGTTCTTCCAGGCCAGGAGTGTGCAGGCCTGGCAGTCACTGGTTTAAAATCAGGGTGGAGATGGATGGCAGGAGAGAGATCGATTGATCATTACCTGTTTGATTCACTCCCTCTGGGACACCTGGTATTGGCCACTGTCGGCAGACAGGGTACTGAGCTGGATGGACCTTTGGTCTGACCCCGTATGGCCATTCTTATGTTCTGATGTTTATATTTATGACAAATGATGGAAGGATCCTGATGACATTCTGGGAATAAGAATCTAAGGAGCAGCCATAGTGAAGTGAACCAGGCACACAGAAATCAGTATAGCCTCCTGATTATAAAAGGCCAAGGCTGGCCACAGACTTTGCTGGTCCATGGGCAATGTGTGTGGTGGCTTGGCTTCGGGATCATAGAAAAGGTGGGGCTTTGGATGGAAGGGGTGAGGGCAGAGACAGCAAGACATTAACATCACACGGGGCTCCAGCAGCAATTTAAAGGCTACGGGGTTCTGGCCGGCCCTACTGTTGTAGTGGTGGATCAGAACCCTGGACCCTTACCCTGGACCCTTGAAAATCACTGGGCCCTGGGGTCAACTGCCCAATATGCTACATCCCCAGTCAGCAGCTCTGTGCAAGGCTCCATCAATAAGCCCCAGTCATCCAAAAGGGACATTGATACATCAGGTTCCACCACACTAATGAAAGAATTCTCTCATGCGGGTTGGTCCCAGACTCCAAAGTGGAGGGCAACATGTGCTTCCGTTTTCCTTCCTCTGTTTCCCTCTGTGATTAGTCTGGAGCTCATGAAAATGGGGAACTCATGTCATTAACTGGGTCAGGCTGCTGGGGAAGTTCTGCCAAACCGTCCTCATTCTGCCCTGCAGCACAGCGCTCGTTTAGCTTGAGGTCTTTTCTGAGCAGAAGCCACCCCAGCTGTAAGCCTGTGGCAACAGCCATACATTCTTATCTCTACAGCCCTGTCATTCTGGGCATGAGAACATGCTGCTGCTGCTGCTGCTGCTGCTGCTTCTGAGTGTGCCAACAAGCCAGGGAGTAAGGCGGAGGGGGACAGTGGGAGGAGCGTACCAGGCTGGCAGTGGTGGAGCCATTGATGCTTTGCAAGTTGAGCTTTTCCTTCTTCTTGTGCTTCTTCTTGCAGCAGCAGCACTTGATGATGCAGATGAGGAAGAGGATTAGGAGAAGGCCTGCGGCGACTGCAATGGCAATGAGAGCCCATCTGGGCACTGTTGCATCATTGGGGAAACAAAGAGAGAAACAAATGGGGTTAGATCACTGTTACGAAATGCCTGTCTAGATAATCCCTGGTCCCAAGGAGAGGATGTTAGCAGGACTCTTGAGTTATAATCTGGCCCTGGAGAAATCACCTAGGTCCAAATGGTGGAGTTTAAGCACCGCAGTAGGCACGTAAGTAAAAGTGCTCTGTTTTCATAGATGTTGAACTTCTGCATTCCTGTCTGAACTAACTCGGTGCTGCGTGTGATCTGCACTTCTGAAAATTAGGCCACGGTGACTATGTACTGGAATATGGACTAATTAATTGTCTAATGCTCAGCACACCCACCTGAAAAGTCTGCCCTTATCTTCCCCGGACCTAAGATCAGTAGCTGTCTGTGGGAGAAGTAATACTTCCCTACTACAGTGGTTTTCAAACTACAGGTCGCGACCCAGCACTGAGTCGTGGAATGTCAGACATGAGGGGTGTGTCTAGACTACAGGGGTTTTTTTCGAAAAAAGTGGCCTTTTTTTAAAAAAACTTCCCCTGCGTCTAGACTGCCACCACATTCTTTTGAAATTAAATCGAAAGAACGCAGGAATTTTTTCGACTGCGGTAAACCTCCTTTTACAAGGAAGAACACCTTTTTTTGAAAGTGCTTTTTTTGAAAAAAGGCGTTCTTGAATGCAAACAGGGCTTTTTCGAAAGAGAGCATCCAGACTGCCTGGGTGCTCTCTTTCGAGAAAGCAGCTAGTTTTTTCGAAAGAAATGGTTGCAGTCTAGACGCTCTCTTTCGAAAGAGGCTTGTAGTCTAGACGTACGTGTTGCTGCAGGGCGATCAGGTGACCAGTGGGGGTGCTAAGGCAGGCTACATGCTTGCCCTGGTACTGCAGATTGTGCTGCGCCCCAGAAGCAGATCAGTTCCTAGGGCAGGCCTGGACAAAATACCCTCTGCAGGCTGGATCCAGCATGCTTGCCCTGGTACTGCAGATTGTGCTGCGCCCCAGAAGCAGATCAGTTCCTAGGGCAGGCCTGGACAAAATACCCTCTGCAGGCTGGATCCAGCCTGCCAAGCTGCCAATGGAGCAGGAAGCCTCAGGCAGCCTCCCTGCCTGCCCCCTGCATGCTGCAGAGAAAAGCAGCCCTTGTGGAGCTCTGTTTGAACAGCTGTGAACCCGGGGGAGGGAGGAAAGGGTTCATGCGGTGCTCCCGCTCCCCAGCACAACCCATTGGCCAGTTTCCAGCCAATGGGAGCTGCCTGTTGACAACAGTCAGCTTGCAAACTGCCCTCTCCTGTTCTCCTCAGGCTCCTAGCTGTTCAAACACCACATGGCCCCTGCAGCTAGAGCAGGCAGGCTGGGAGTCTGCTTAAGAAGGCTGCTGGCTGGGAGTCAAGCAGGTAAGTTTCCCAGTGAGAGCCTGTCTCTGGCACCTCAACCCTTTGACCCCCTACCCCCCAAATCCCCTCCCAAATCCTGCACCCCAACCCCCTGCCCCAGGTCACAACCCGAACCCTCTGCCCCCCTCTGCACTCATATGCCCTCCCGGGTCCTGCACCCCAATCCCCTGCCCCAGATCACAGCCCCCTCTTGCCCAAGGTCACAACTCAAACCCCTGCGCCCTAGTCCACTAGCCCAGGTCACAAGTGCCTCTTTCACCCAAACTCCTTCCTAGACCCCACACTCTCTCCTGCACCCCAATCCCTTACTGCAAGCTCCCTTCTGCACCCAACCTCCATCCCAGACCCCGCACTTCCTCCATTGATATGGAAGAGTGTGGCCCTCAACCACTTTACAAATTCTTGGAGTGGCCCCCATCAACAAATATTGCCCACCCCTGTCCTAGGGGGAGAAGGCTCTGTGCACTGCCCTTGCACCAAGCACTAGCTCCGTACTCCCATTGGCTGGGAACCTGCTGCAGGCTGCTTCTGGGGCGCAGCATGATCTGTGGTGCCAGGAGAGGCAGGAAGCCTGACTTAGCACCCCCACTGCACCGCTGACCGGGAGCCACATGAGGTAAGCTCCTCCTGCCTCAGCCCTGACCCCCCTCAAAGCCAGAGCCTGCTTCTACAGCCCAAAACTCTCATCCTCAGCCCCACCCCAGAGCCCCCACTCTAGTCCAAGTATTTTGGGTCACAAGCATTAACAATTTTCTTCAACAGGGTGATGAGCAAAAAAGTTTGAAAACCACTGTCCTACCACATGGGGTGGAGTAAGAGTTAATTCTCCTGTGTTTGTACAGTGCTTTGAAACCAATGGAGGAATTGAGAAGTATCAGATAAAACCAAATGGTCAATGTAACTTCATTTCAAATGGGGGTAGCTGAGTAGAGGAACAGGTTGAGATTTTCAAAGCAATTCAGGGGATTTAAGTGTAGATGAGCCCTGACCCAGCTGCAATGCTGCAGAGGAAACGCTCTTTCTAGAGACAGAAGGGGTGCCCCTCTTCGCATCATTATTCCTTCTCCCCAAGAGGCAGCAGTTAGCGTGACAGAGAAATTCTTCTAGCAGCCTCCAATAGAGAAAGCAGGGACGTGAAAGGTTAACTGGTTAACCGGTAAGCATCACTCTTAACAGGTGAGGTTTACCTGTTCCGGTTAACCGGTGGGGCCTGGAGCAGCTCCCTGCCTGCTGCGGGTGCGGGGCTGCTCCAGCTTCTGTCTGCAGCAGGCCTGTGTATGTTGTAGGCAGGGGATGCATCCGTATGCCTGTGTTGGAGGCAGGGGATGTTGTATGTTGTGGGCAGGGGATGCCTGTGTATGTTGTAGGCAGGGGATCCAGCCGCCCAGAACAGCCCCAGTCTGCTCTGGGCTGGAACCGCCCCTGCCTGCGGCATGAGGATTACTCCAGCGGGGAGCCGCTCCAACCCAGCAGGGCTGGAGTGCCCCCTCCCACCCACTCCCCCTTTAATTGGTTAACCAGTTAAACATCATGTTTAACCAGTTAACTAATTAACCGGGATTTGGCATCCCTAACAGAATGCAGGGTTGGCTCATGATGAATCCAACTCTTGTGCTCACTCTGCCACCTCTAATATACTCACGTGGTATTTTGTTAATAATGCCATCGATGAAGCTAGGCGTGGCAGTGGTCAAAGCAGCGGTCGTCGTGAGGTTACTGGGGGCAGGCGGGGTGGTAGTGCGGATTGAACTCATTTTGTTCGCTGTGATTAAATGCAGGTGATATGGAAAACAAAAGAAAAAGTCCATGAGAGACAAAGCTGGGATTCAAGCTATTCAGAAGTCTTTTTGAGTGTGACGTCATCTGCGTTTTTCCTTAGTAAATGGTTCCTATTTAAGAAAGACTGTGATTCTACGTGACAGTCCCCTTCCTGTTGAGAAACTATTGGGAAATGGACAGGGAGGATGAGAGCTCCATTTACCCTCATGAACTTATCCAGCAACCATCCCCTCAGATGGAAGAGATTAGGGGAGCTATAGGTGGAGGAGTTCATGCTCCCTCCCAACCCTATTTCAAGGATCCATGAGGAAAGGAATTTCCTTCTCTACAGAAACAGGAGCCATTTTGCCCTGACCTCTCCAGCACACTGGAGCAGGAGCTGCACTTGCATTGCCTGGATCCCCTTGCTCAGTAGCAGCCTCAAAGGGGGTACTCAGTAGGCAATAGAGGATGCCACAGAGAGCAGTTTCACTTCTGCTCCATGTCCATCTATGCCCACCCCTGCTCCTGAATTCCATTAATGGAGCAAATGAGTATCTGCATGAAGCAAAGGAGGGGTTGAGAATAGAAAATCAGTGATCCATAGGGTTGCCAGGTGTCCGGTTTTGAACCGGACAGCCCAGTATTTGAGCTTTCTGTTCAGGAAACAAATGGAGAAAATCACAAACCACAGACAGAGCTTGGTTTTCACTCTCTGAAATACAGCCCTCTCTGGGATGGAATGTAAAAGAGGACTGGAGCAGGCTCCGTAACTCCACATTATAACTGAGCACAGGAAGCGAAGAACACTGTGGCCAGATGATATTACAGAATGTCAGTAAACTTGGAGCATAATAGACACTAAGAACTGCATCATATAGTACACTATCTTCACTATAATGCTCTGCATGTCCTGAGACATAATGCGTCATCAGCACTGCCATGTTAATCACAGCCTCTAGCACTGAGACAGCATCTTGTTACCTTTATATCAGTGCACCATGGCAGCTAGGGTGGGATCCTTAATCCCCCGGGCGAGCCTGCGTTACTGCAGTTCTACAAGAGGCCTGCTTCTGGGAGCCCCCCAGCACTGAGGCTATGGCAACACTGCTGGTTTTTTGCGAAAGAGGATATGCAAATCGCACTCGCATTTGCAGATCTTCTTCCAATTCTTTTTGCGGAAGAGGTTTTGCGGATAAAAAGCCCCATGTAGACGGGGCCATTTGTTGGGGGGGGAAAGCTTCTTTCGCAAGATCCTGTAAACCTCGATTTTTGAGGAATAAGGGATCTTGCAAAAGAGGGGTTTTTTCCCAACAAATGGCCCCATCTACATGGGGCTTTTTATCCACAAAACCACTTCTGCAAAAAGAATCGGAAGAAGATACGCAAATACGAGCGCAATTTGCATATCCTCTTCCACAAAAAAATGGCAGTGTAGCCGTAGCCTGAGTCACACAGGAAATCACAGCATGGACAGGAGGAAAGAAAGAAGAGTCGTGTCATCCATCAATTTCCAGGAAGCATCCATCACCCTTTTCCCCAGAATTAACAGGAAGAGATTGAGTATTAAACGAATAAACAAGGTGAAGAGAGGTTTGGGATGTGTGTATGTGAGGATGCCTACAGTGGACCAGGTCCCATTTCTCAGCTGAGCCCTTACTCACACAACTAATGCCAGTGATATCAATTATTTATATTACTAGCACCTAGAGGCACCAACCAAGGTCAGGGCCCCATGGAGCTAGGTGTTTTATATACATACAGTAACAGACATCCCTGGGCCCAAAAATCTATTGAGGTGGGAGAGACAAAAGATGGGAGATGAAACACAGACACAGAGAAGGAAAGTGACAGAGGAACCTGGAATACATCACACCTCTCCTGTCTCCCACCATCAATGCTGTAGCACTGGACCCACTGTCTTTTCTGGGGTGGCTGTGAATCACAGCTCAGCTTTGCACTCAAAGGGTCACACAATCAGGCCTAATGTGAGCTGTGGGAGAAGCAAAGGGAAAAATTGCTGTAATAATGAGTTGGCAATCAGTGAAGTCCCTCGTAGACACTTCAGCTGGAGGCAGTTATGTGCTAGCCGATGGAGCCCATACTCAAGAGACCTGGGCCAGTCCTGACTCTGCTAATGCCCTGCTTGGTGACCTTGGGTAAGTCACTTTGCCTCTGAGTCTCAGCTCTGCTGCTGAAAAGCTCTAGGTATTATTAATGTTATTACTAGGAATGTCTACACTATACAAGGTTCTTCCCCCAGGCAGGAGTGTGCAACCCCCAACCATGAACATGATGGGCACTGGCCGTTCAATAATTAAAGCCAGCTGTGAGGGGCTCCTCCTTGCATCATAGTTATACATGCCATGCCAGACTGATGTGACGGACAGTACGTAGTATGTGCCTATTTATCTTGGCTCCCAGCAGCCCCTTGCTGAATGTGAGCATGTAACACACAGAAACCTGTTGGGGAACATTTTAAGTTGGCCGGCCACTCACTAACTGATCTAAAAGTGACAGAGCAATTTCAAAAACTAGCTGGGAAGAAGCTGCAGAACTTGGTTTCATTTACAAGACTGACACCTGTAATCAAGGTTGGAACAAAGACTGACCTGGACAGGCTGCTACATTCCACACCCTGATGCCATAAAAACACGAAGCACTGGGTTCTTACAGCCCACTCTATTAGCCTCATTTAGCACAGACACTCTAAGGTTGTGTCTAGACTGCCTCCCATTTCCGTAAAAGGGATGCAAATTAGACACATCACAATTGCAAATGAAGTGGGGATTTAAATCCCCCCGCATCATTTACATAAAAATGGCTGCCGCTTTTTTCTGACTCCGAGCTTTGCTGGAAAAAAGCGCCAGTCTAAACGCGGATCTTTCGGAAAATAAAGCCTTTTCCGAAAGATCCCTTATTCCTGTCACCTTTAGATCCATTAGTGAGTGCCCGGGCAAGTTAAAATGGTCCCCAACAGATTCGCGTGTGTTACCATTTTGAATATCTGATTTATGTCCATTAATCCTTTGTCGTGGAGACTGTCCAGTTTGGCCAATATACATGACAGAGGGGCATTGCTGGCACTTGATGGCATAGATCACATTGGTGGATGTGCAGTTATTATTACAAGGCACTTTCAAAAACCAGCTGGAGAGAGAAGCTGCAGAACTTAATTTCATTTACAAATGTGACACCTGCAATAGAGGTTTAAACAAATACCTTAACTAGATGGCCTGCTACGTTCCACACCCTAATGACATAAAAAGCCAAGCACCGGGTACTTAGAGTGGGTTCTAAGTACTCGATCAGCTTCATTTACCAAGGACACTCCGACAATATATTTTTTTCCTTCTCTTTCCCTCCTCATCCCCTCTCTTTTTCTGCTTTATTTGTACCTTGGACCAGTGTTCCCTTTAAGCTGTGTGGCAGCACTGCTTCACAGGTGATTAGTCAGTCCTGCCCAGTCAGAGGCTCAGTGCTCTGTGCTCCAGCTGACTGACTCAGTGGGGCTGGGGCTGGGGCTGATTAAACACCTGTGAAGCTGTGCTGCCATGCAGCTTAGAAGGAACACTGCCCTGGACCTCTTACTCCATTCATCTGAAGAAGTGGGTTTACGTTTTTTGGTAGTCTCTAAGATGATGTATAACTATTTGTTGTTTTTTAAGTTTTTCCAATTAACGAGAAAATGCAAGTGTTTTTGCTCGCCACTCAGCAAAGAGAGGTGTGCAGAGAAATTCCTAAAAAAGAAACTTCCCTTGACTGAGTTTTGTTGAGAATGTGTCATAACCCTAATAAATGTACACCAAGATTTTTGTTCTTCAAAGTGATTCACTAACGTCAACTAACAGTTGTATTAAATTCAGTGCTATTGTTACTTGTAGCGTGATAGCACTTAGCAGCAAATGAGATCAGAGTTTAGTTAACACTGAGCACTTCTGAGCGTCCTATGTAAATTTCCAAACAGGCAGGCAGAACAAGGAATGGACTCTATTCAGTGCTAAAGAAAGGCATTTTAGAATCCTGAGCATATATCTGTCTGAAGTAAAATTACTCCGAAGCATCTATTAGTCAGTGCTTTAATGAAGTATGTTTTAACTTCAGTGAAAAAAATCTTTACATTTAAATGTTCCCCTGCAGTGACACCAACCTTAACCGGTGGCAGTACTTGTGAATCAGAAAGTGAAACTGACTGTAAACAAAAGTACAAAAGTGAAATAAACCTGTGCCTATCTCCCTCCTGGCTTCTTGATGTGGGGAAGGGGGGAGGAGAGAGAGAGAGAGAGAGAGAATATAAAGATGTCGAAACGCAAATAAGGTTTTTCATGGTCTTGCACTTTTAATAACCCAATATGGTGTGTACAACACCCCAGGTAAAGAATACTGGGTTTCTAATTGTGTGCACTTCCCTGCTCAAAGCTCTGTATAGCGAGTCAGATTAGAAATGTATTCCCAGTCACATTTAAGGGAGCCAGAGCAGGAATTTCTACTGCCCTTGCTGCCTATTAGACTTCTATGCTGGTGCTCAAAGTTCTGAGCTATGACGCAGACTGTGCACTTAGATGCTGGAACAAAAATGCCACATACACCCCTATTCCTAAACCAGCCAGATGCTGGGTCCAGACTCCACCCACCATAGAGATATTTATGAAAGATTGTGATTTGAAGACAGCCCCTTGCAAGGAACAGTGTTGTATGGGAATTTGGAGACGTGCCCTGGAGAGGGAAGCAGGGCTGTGCCACAGCTGGCTATAGAAGCTCTCCCGGTTGTCTTATTCCCTTCTCATTCACTATTTTCTTATGTAATGAACCCCAAGACTGTTGCAAGCTGTAGGAATAAGCATAGTTATTTGCCTGTACACTCCTTTGGAGAAGCAGGTGGTCAAGGAGGTGGCCATGAGGGCCTGCGGATAGGAGGGACAAAGGGAGTAGATACCGCGGGGCCCCGCAATTCAAAGGGGCCCAGGGTTCCTGGCCACTGCTGCTGGTACTGAGGCAGTGGTA